CAGCTTTGCTTCAAGAACTAACTGGATCTGGCTTTGTAGTTATTAAAGAGGTTTAATGGGCTATATAAACAGCCAATTTCACATTTGTTCCCAAGAAGTGAAACAATACCTCCTGGGAGGACAAGCGTGCTCATATGTAAACACTGTATACAAAACAACAACAACAACAATTGTCTGAAATAACTGGGGGTGTGGGTCAAATGGGCAAAGTCTGGCCTTCATAAGAGTTGGATTTAGATACCATTTTTTTCTTCCTGGTACATCAGCAAGCAATTAAGAAGAATGGGGAGGGCATTTTGCCTTAGAAGAAAATAAACGAGCAAGCAATCAAATCAGCAGTGATGAGTTATATTGGGCCCCACTCCCAGATTCAAGAGCTACAGATTATTGCAAACTGATCTCTACTAGAAACAGAACCATGAAGAGCATGAAGGGTTTAGCATGCAAGCGTAGAAGCCCTAACGCGTCTGCGTGAAATTCTCTGGCAAATCCTGCAGTGACAGACCAATCATGGAAAATCTTAAGACTAAAATATCAATTGGTCAGACTCTTTGGGGCTTATTCAGCATTACTTGGTTAGTTGCAGGTGTGTTTATTTTTAAAGAATTCAGCTGAACGCAGCCCACAACAATAATTTTAAAAATCCTATCAAATTCAATAACATAAAATAACAGATTAAATTAGCCAAGATAGAAAACAAACCAGAGCAGGAATTTAAGTTCAAACTGGAAAATCAAGTCAAATGATATTTGCAGGCATTGGAAAAACACTGTGTCCAGATTTATATATTGTACTAAGCCTTGGTTTGCTTAAGAGTAGCTTCCTGAATAAACTGTAATTGGCTGGGTTCACAGAACATGCTAAAATGTAACAAGCAAGTCACATTATGGCTTAAAATAGTGTGTGAACTTAAGTCTAAAACTGAAATCCTACACATACTTACTAGACATCCAGCTGAATTACATGGGGTTTCTTTTTTAATAGTCAAGCGGGCTTTTAGAATTTTCACCCCGGCATTACTTCTTTTTGGTCTGGGTTACACTGGTTGAGGTTTTGTAACTTTCTTCTGCCACCAAGCCATTTTAAGTCTGAGTTTCCTGCTACCAAAGTCAGTGCTCCCTCTTTTCTAGGATTCCACTCCTAATACAAAAAATGCTAAGCACCTGAAAGATCTCAAACCTGATTCCTTTTAAAGAGAATCAGGAAAGGCCTAGGAGACTTAGACACATCTATGGAGTGTGCTGTCCATTCGTCACAACTACTGGGATAAACAGCTCATTAGCCAGTTGCTTCTTTGGAGAATTTTCCCTCTGCGAGCTTAGGATGGGTAACCCAATACATGTTATCCTATATCCAGAAATGAAACTTCTCCATAGTACTGAATGATGCCCTGAGAGTTACACCCTTTCCTAGCAGTAGAGGTAGCCTTTGGCCCAGTTCTAGTAGAGTTTTGATAACCTTTCACCACCAAGCTTATTGATTGGTCAGTTTTTGTGTGTCCATCTGGATCTTGACATATCTGTTGCTCAATCTGGCCTGATAAGACCCTTGCCCATCTCCAAGGAGGTCTATTAAGTATTCTTGGGTTATCAGGCTGGTTCTCCTTCTTTAGTCTATCTGCTCTTTTCATATTTATCTTTTTTCAACCTGTTCTTTATTTGAGTAAACTGAACTGCACCATTAATTGCATAAACAATTTATATAATCTTGTTTATTACAAGATATAAATAAGTTATAAACAATCTTAGTCTATGCATCTTTATGCTTCACTGAAGCCTGAAAGAACGTTCATAGTCTGCCATATTCTTCCAAATGCAAAGCCACAATCAATACAAAATTCTCAGTAATGCCATGAAACAATAGTTTACACATGCAAATTATCACTTGTATTACAACTCCCTCAGTAGATTTTATCCTCACAAGTCTATTGGACAAACTGTCTAATACACTGAGCCACAAATTTGCCCAAACCATTTTTTAGCCTAGCATGTTTGTGCTAACCCAGGTTACACACAGCAACGTCTGTGTGGAGAGGGGCCAAAATAGGCAAGATGCAGGTGCGGCTCTGTAATACAAGCTCTGCCCCTTTGTACATGCAACATGTATGGAGGCACAAAAGGGGCAGGGCTTCGATCGTGATCATCTTGCTTGCAGGAGCTGCTGGCTGTGTAGTTAGATTTTAGTTCAACGTGTTGTGTAAACCTAGAAAATTTATTTAATTCAGTGAACCGTGATTATTCTAACCATAAGTAATAATGTCATACAAATATTGCATAAGTGATTGGCTTAAGTCTCCAAGGGAGTTTCATAATGAAATCTACATTTATAGTTGGATCTCTCCCATTCTACCTCAATGTCTTCATTGTATCACACTGAGCATTTATTGGTAAATACAGGTAGTTCTTGCTGAACAAACACAATTGGGACCAGAATTTAGGCCGCTAAGCAATGCGGTTGCTGAGTGAATCATTATGTGACTGGGTCCGATTTTACGACCTTGTTTGCGGTGCTGGTTAAGCGAATCACTGCAGTCATTAAGTGAATCATGCAGTTGTTAAGCGAATCATATGGTTCCCCATTGATTTTGCTTGCCAGAAGCCAGCTGGGAAGGTTGCAAATGGCGATCACGTGACACTGGGAAGCTGCAACCGTTGTAAGTGCGAGCTAGTTGCCAAGCGCCTGGATTGTGATCAAATGACTGTGGGGGCACTGCAACGGTCATAACTTTGGGCACTGATAGTAAGACACTTTTTTAGCCCCATTGTAACTTTGAATGGTTGCTAAACGAATGATTGTTAAGTGAGGACTACCTTTATACAAATGGCAGTTGATCATAAACAAAGGCAACATAGACTTTTGAGAGAAAGGATGCCTCTTTAACAAGGGATCAAAACCTAAATATCTTGCACCGGAATTTGGACAGAAGTTGTAGGAAGAGTTTGGGTTTGTTAGGCTGATGCCAGGGAGAAAAACTGAAACACTGAATGCCAAATAACAGATTTGAAGGAGTTGAAGAGTTGTTCTATTCTTCTCTACAAACAAAAACCAGTGAGCTCTATTTCCACCTATATACATGCCAGAATACTGTACCAGAGCAGGCCATTGTGGGTTATAATCAGCCTACCCTGGGACCAAATGTACAGTATGACAGGCAGCCTGAGGGGAGTGGGAGAAAGGTGAATTGGCTTGGGACCATAATATGGAGCAGAATAGCTTTAGCCCTTTACCCTTATCATTGCCCTCAGAATCAGGGCATCTCAGTCCTGCTTTTTAGAAAACGAGAGAAGCTCCATTGGCATAAGAGACATGTACTTCTATTACAGATACAAGCATGAATGGGATTCAGAGTAGAGCAAACAATTAAAAACTTCCAAGTCTTTTGGCATGGCTCCAATCTAGATTCCCCAGACCTGTTAGTTAGAAAAATCAGTCCATAGCAGTTTAGGATAAAACAAAACAGTAACAGTAACATCACACCAATTACACAAATGTAGTTAAAACCATAAAACCCAGTTGAAAATCCATAAACAACAATATCAGAATAATACAGCACTGTGTGGCTTTAAATTTTCAAAATCCATAAGCCATTATAGTAATAAAACAAAATTCCTAAAGATGAAAAATTGATGTTTAGCAAAGTAGAGAAGAGTGGTCTGGCCTTCAAAGGAAAAGACAGTTCCACGAGCCTGGTGCCGCCACTGAGGAGCCCCCTAGCAGATTTCAGCCAGTCATCCTTCTGGGTTGGCACCTGCAAAAAGTTCTTCAAAGACAATTAGAGCTCCTGGTTTGTAACATATGGAGGGAACCACTCCTTCAAATAGGCAAGGACTGAACCATTTAGAGATGTATGTGTCCAAACAGGCACCTTGAATTTAATCTGAAAATTGATGGGCAACCTATGCAGTTTTGTGAGGACAGATGTTATATGCTTCTGCTCATGGTTACCATATTATAGACCCACTGCAGTTTCCAAGTTTCCTTCCTTCTAGGGCATCCCCTTATAGAGTGCCTTACAATAAACTGTCTACAAACTATTGCATGAATAAGAATAACCAAATTAGACTTTTTCAGGAAGGGATGAAGATGGTGAGTCAATCACAGTTGAAAGATCCTGCCACAGATGAACTGATTCTGACTTGCAAGGTCTATACTATGAAACAATTTGCCTTTCGAGTTATCTTTTACTCATGCCATTTACAGTTTTTTATGTTGTGAGGTTCTTTTTAACGGTTTAATTGTTAGATTGATTTTTTTTTTGTGGTTAGATGTTTGCAAGCCACCCTGGATGGCAAAATGGTTGGCATATCACATTTAAATGTGTAAACAAACAAATAAATAAGCAAATAATTAACATCCAGCTCCTCCTCCTTCTTTTCCAGCTGTAGTCACAACCAGATTTCATTCTCTCACCTTTGCACCTGCATCTGATTTTTAAGGGAAAGAATCAAGTCAAACCATATGACTGAGAAAATGGATAGCCAAACATTTCATTATAGCTTAGTCCTGTGTAAGAGCACAAGGAATTCTTTTTTTGGTTTCTACCTGAAAATGTAGAATATAGTAGCCTGGACTTCAGCTCTCACAATCCCTGTTTTGCACGAAGTTTAATATATCTGGAGGTTGGCATCAAGTTGGAGTAGAGAGACAATTACTTCTTTCATGCGAATTATATATCCATTTGTGTCTGCATCTACTTCACTTCTGCTTGGTGAAGAGTTAAAGTTGTGAAGAAAATTTGAGCACATGCTTCCATTCAGAAAGCTTACCCACAGACCTGTTGAGTTTGGGCTCTGCGTGTATGAAGGGGGAGGGGGAGAGAAAGAAAGAAAAAGCACACCAACTTTTTGCACAGGTTGTAAATGGGCCTCTCTGGTTGCTCAAGAGTTAATATTTCTCTCTTGTAATTTGTTTCCCTTTGCCAAAGTGGGTGTTGCTGGAATGTCTCTTGTAAAGGGGGGGGGGTACTGAGCCGTGTCCTCTGGAGAGGGGCGATGTCAGTATCAAAAAGGCACAAAAGGGGGAGGTTTCCAAAAATAAAATTGCCCATCCTATCCAGAGCCAGCCAGTGCCAGAGGCAAAGGAGAGGGTGCTTGGAGCTGTCTGCAAAGAAGACCACGCGCTCTGACAGCCGCGGAGAGAAAGAGACGGGAGAACTCTAAGGCAGGGAACTGTTGCTCCCGGCTCGGGAAGACCTGTGTTATTGCTCCTCTGAGCCTTGCTTTCCCATCCAGACAGCAGGTATTACTGAAGCCTCTTTTGGATGTACCTGAAGATGTGAATGGCTCTGAAATGTACCAGAGGGATTTAGCTGGGGGGACTTTTCTCGGCAATCCAATTGCATTTGGTATATGACACAACTAATCCAAAGACAGTGTGCTTTTCCTCTTGGATGGAAACCATGAGGAGCTCTTGGAACAGTTTTCTCCCATTAACTATAGCACTTTTTATGGGGGTTGTGGACTGTCAGAGACACTTTGCTGGGCAACCGGATCAACGTCCTTCTTTCAGGACAGATGCTGGGAATAGGGAGATGACACCGCTAAGATTTCAGCAGAACCAAGGCAGGTTTGGGCCAAGAACTAAGGTGCACGGTTTGTTCCAGGTACCTGGTTCTTCTTCTACATTGGATCATATTCCTGTGACTCCTCAGACCAATGCTGCTGCTAATGCCCGGATGAGAAATCCAGCAGGGGGGGAACATCAGAAACAATACTCTGCTCCCACATTCCGCAAACTCCCATCTCTCACCAATGTGAGATCTCAGACCAGCAATCCTAGAAGGAACACTGGTGCTCTGGGTAGAAGTCCAAGCTGGACTCTCCAGCAGAGAGCACCACCAGTGAACCTCGTCCAGAATGGGCCAAGACCACGGACAGCCCCACAAGTGCAAATGCAGGCTGCCAGAGGCCGGATGGCAGGGTAAGTGTGACCAGCGTCCTCCAGTTGTCATATAAGGTGCTTGGGAGATCTCAGTGCTCTTTACTGACCTCCATGTCAGTTTTACAACTATATTCTGATTTTAGAGCTTGTCAGTCAGTTCAGAATCATCTAGATACAAATGCATCCTAGAAAATGCTTCACAGAACAAACTAGCCAAGAACTCTGCTGCTGAGATCTCTGCAAGCCATTTGCTATATCATGGTCTAAGTGATTTAAGCTTCAGCTGTTATCTACCTCTGCAACTCCTTTGGGGCCTAAAGCAGATTCAAAACTGGCCACGCCTAGGTGTGTGAAGTGAATGAGCATGCTCATGCAATACCGCACTGCCGCCACAATTTAGCTGTGAACAGGCCTAGTGATCCCTCCACTTGAATGGAATGGCTGTCAGCCACCCCCCCCCCCTTATTTTCTGCTTGTCATCTCATGCAAATTTGGCACAACAACAACTACCACTTGGAATAAACTAAAGAGACACTCCATGGTTTATGATAATCACACATGTGGTTTGCACGGTAAGCTAAGCCACACTGTGGCTGGGTTTAGTGGAATGGCCAAGTCTGGCTATGGGCTAAGTTTAAAAAGAGTGCCAGCAGAGTTGGTAACCATGGCTTGCTGTTTATTCAAATAAACCACAATCTTGTGTTATTCAGCATGAATGGATGTTTTGTTAATCACAGTTAGCTTCTCCTTTTGGCCTGCAGACAGCAGGCTGGACCATTTGGTGCATTAGTGTTATTGTCTCTCTTTGGTTAGTGTTATGGATTTGGTTATTTTTTTAGGAGTGGGAGGCAGGAAAAAGCTTTTTTCCCCCTTCCTGTTCTTGTTATAGATTTCTAGCCTTTCTTCCCCATACTGTAGTTCAGTTACGGATTTCACATATTACACTAAGCCACAGTTTGTTTTAATAATGGTTTGTTGAATAAACTGCAATTGGCTGGGTTTACATATCGTGCTTACCCATAGATTGTGGTTTACAATCCAAACTAATTATGTTCACAAAATCTGCTAAACTGAATCCAAACAAGTCACATATAGCACAGCCTGCCCCAATCTGTGTGCTCCTGGATGCATACATTTCATGTCCATTGCAGGGAATTTGCAAAATTGAAGTCCAAATACCTGGAGGATGCCTCAGTCAGGGAAGGCTGAGTTTGGATTGCAAGGGTCAAGAACTTTTTTTTAGGTAGTAGCCACTATTGCTCAATTCCATGCAATGGCTTCTTCCCAGTCTAGTTTTTAAAAATAAACATAAACAAGCAAGCAAACCTGCAATCTCTGGAGAGTATAGAGAGTTTTGTTGAGATACAGCTATCTGATCATTGACTATTTTAAATATTTTTAAAAAATAGAATTTGGAAGTAAATGGACCCAGTTTAAGGGTTAACTGTACCTAGATTATAAAAATCTAGATTGGCAGTCAATGTTTGAAAAACAGATTTTTGCAGCCCAGGTATGGTAGCCCTACTTAAAGTTTATAAATTATGGAGAGATTAACAATAAATTAGGTGTAAATAAAAATGTTTTTAAAAGTAAGAGTTTTTTTTTAAAGCACATGCATTTACACATATAGAAAATAAGCACAAATGTCTTTATTTAGTACTAATTAGTACCAATGCCATCACGAGAGTTCAGGATGCAGAGTCTCAAAGAATCTAGGGAATTATCTAACCAGACCGACCAAAGCAAGACTCTTCTCATTGGGGCCCATTCAGCACATCTCAGGGGGAAATGTGGTCTGTTAGTGAAAACTATTTCCTGATGGAGGTTTTTTGATGTAATGTGTCATTGCCATTCTGCGTGGGGATGAACCTCATGTGGGTTTAACAGCTGTTTTGAGAAGCTTTGGATTTTACTACAAGGAGTTTACAAAAAGCTAATTTTCATTTAATTTAAAGGCAAATGTGGGAAAGGAAAATCTAGACTCAAACTTATGTAACACATATTGCCCTAGATGGGGATCCCAGATTGAGTTGATCCAAGGATGCTCAGACCAAAGCTGAAAGGGAACATGAAGGAAGGAAGGTGAACTGCTTTCATGTCCATTGCAGGAAGTGGCTACCTCTGTGCCTTGCATATTATCTGAGAATTATGGATGGAAGAATCTGTCAATTTCAATTTTGTCCCATTTCTCATTCTTCCAATCTTTATTTATGTTCATATTTGTTTTCAAAAGTCCATTAAAAAGTTCTCTACATTTCCTGCAAATTTATAAAGGATCTGTACCTTTATTAGGGCAGCCTGTCATTTAAAGAGCATTTATAATCCTGGCAAGGTTTTTGGAAGTGGTTTGCTGTTGCCTCCTTCCCAGGGCTGAGAGAGGCCCAAAGTCACTTTTCTGGCATTTGTGCCTAAGGCAGGACTAGAACTCGTGGTCTCTCAGCTTTTTGTCCAGTGCCCTTAATTGCTACACTTACAATCAGTCTTAATTTGGGCCATGTGACTGTTCATTTCTTATTTGGAAATCTAATTGGATCAAACTGTTTTTATTTTAAAAATAACAGCTACATGGAAGAGGACAGAACCTGTGGCTCTAGGGAAGAGGAGTTAATCTTTTTCTGTACCATAATCATAACAAAATTGTTATGTCACTGTACTAACCTATGGTATGTTTAATCTTGGTTTGTTAAACAAATCACAATGGCATCTGTACTGCCAAGCAAGCGTTACTAGCCAAACATGCCACAAAGGCAGCTCAGCTTGTTAATGTCTCCTAGGAGCATCATCCCTCTCTAAGCTGTAAACATGTGGTGGTCCTCAAAGCAGCAGGAATTCATTTTGCATTCTTTCTAAGGCAGCAAAAACCACACACTGTTCAAGTCACTCAAAAGTTGAGAAAATTATTTAACTGCAACCAGATGCTCAGAGGGTTGGTTATGCGTAGAGGAAAAGCCAGGAGTCCCTTTAGCCTTCCCTGGATTTCAGTATAGCCCACTGTCAGAACTCTGTTAAAATTCTCAGCCAGAAATGGAAAAGTCCTTTACTCCTCCTCCCGCCCCCCGCCCCCCCATTCTCAGCAAAATGAACTTTTCCTCTTCTTCTGGCTGATAGTAGCTCAGACCGTGCATTTCTCTAATTCTGGACTCTTTGGGAATTATTTCATGCATGGTGTGCATTTTGAAAAAGCACCTAAAGTTTTTGAAGATTTATACAAATATGTACTGTCTAAATGAAAAACAGTTTATTTGGACATATATCTATAAAAGTTTATTCATTAGTGAGAGCTAGGGCTTGAATAGAAATGGAATTAATAGATTCAAAAGCTATATTTCAGATTTCATCCTAATAGGAGGTTTAAACGTAATAGCTTGTCTTTACTCTGGGGCTGCTACATTTATAGCTAGAATTCAAATAATTATATGCATTCCAGCAGTGGGCATGGCTCTTATCTTTGGCATACAACATTTTTTTAAACATGCATGTAGGCATTCTCTTTCTCCAGTTGGGTTAAGATTCCTTTCATAGAGGCCAAAGCAGGAAGAAATAAATAATAATCCAGTGCAAAGCACATGAAGAGGATAAAGCATGGAAGTCTGTATTAAGCCCATAGCTTGGAGATTCTCCAGTTTTCCTAGTATTTAGAAATAACGTGCACTCATTTCCGTGTGGAGATGTATAGGATCCCAGTGAATGGTCACTTCTCTATATGAATCACTGTTCCTCCTTTGAAATAGGAGGTATGCTTAGCAGTGATTTCCTTTTACACATTCTAGTTTTGCCTTTTATTTATTTGTAAAAAAAACCCCTGAACTATTGTCAGCCTTGTTTGCTTCCAGTTTTAATTCAGAAAAAGATATGACCCAGTCACCAGAAGATTATGAAATGCTGTTTTAAAGTAAAACCTTACCAATGAAAACTCAACCTCTGTGTGTGTGTGTGTGTGTGTGTGTGTGTGTGAATACTAAAGAGAATAACCAGGTGTTAGCAATGTAGCTTTCCTTTCAAAGAGCATAAGGGGTTAGTAAATTTGATAAAGTTCTGGAGTTTATTCCCTTTGGAACATAAAGTCTCTACCATAAAGTCAGCAGGAGTTGAGCTTCCCTGAGGGATTTTACTTTTATTTAACGTGATGTACTGCTAATGTCTCTCAGTGGTTTACAGCTAGGCTGTTTTCTGAGCAGGGTGAGTGGTGCTGCCTATGGAAATCACTGTCAGATTATGCCAATAATCTGAGCTAGAAACTGAGAAGTGTTTTCTTCCTTTGTAGTCATTTGCTACAGATTAATAATCCAGTTAGCAAATCCAACATGAGGAATAGGAGGCTATGGTTGGTTGGTGAGGGACAGCAGTCAATATGCTGGATTGGAATTGGGGAGACCCGGTTCTAGTTTGCTCTCAGCCATGGAACTCACTGGGGAGACTTTGGGTCAGTGACTCTCTCTCAGCCAAATTCTGTGTGCTGTCTGGTATGAAAGGTGGGATATAACCATAATAAATAAAATCTCACCTCATTCAAAATAAATCTGACCTGGGGAAAATATAAACAGCAGGTTGTTAGATCTTTAAAAAATACTGACAAATTACATAATTTGAGCTTTGAAAGGAAATATTCCTTACTTGTGATAGCTTATGTGCTCTAGTCTACATGGCAATGCTATATAATGGTTTAGAATATTTTAACACAGTGTTTCTCAACCTTAGCAACTTTAAGATAGGTGGACTTCAACTTCCAGAATTCCCCAGCCAGCTTGCCTGCCAGAGTTTTGCAAGCTGCAGCATTTTAATAGCAGTTTAAGGGAAGCTGATTAAGGCTAGGCAACACCTTTTTTTCTCCCCTGGGTGTCTTCAGAATGAAACTCAGATTTCAGGAATTCTGCAAAAGTAGGCAAGCTCATCTTTCCCACTAAAAATATGGTTTTAAATGTTATTAGCTGTTTTTGCTTTTCCCAATGGGATGGTTTATTTTATAAAGTTGAAAGTTTATCAAAGTTTTATTTGCTATACAGTTTGAAATTATAAGTAAGTACAGGTAGTCCTTGCTTAATGACAGTTTGTTTAACGATGGTTCAAAGTTATGATGGCCTTGGAAAGGGTGCTTTATGGCCCATAAAGCACTTCTGGCTGTTGTAAACCGTTGTGCTGCCCTCTGTCCCCTGTGGTCATTAGCCGCAAGCACTTGGCAACCGGCTTGCATTTACAATTGGTTGCCAAGTGCCCCACAAACATGTGATCGTCATTTGCAACCTTTTCTGCCAGCTTCCCCAGAAAGTCAATGCAGGAAAGGTTGCACTGGAATGCTCCTTCCCCACCAGGAGTTATCCGTAATCAGTGTTGATCAAGACTAGTGATATATGTATGTATGTATGTATGTTATTTTACATCATAGGACAATGCATTAAAGCTGTTTATCCTTAATATGGTAACTATATGAAATGGTTTCTGTCTAAATTATATTAATTTATTGTGATAGTTGTGGCTGTATTCTTCATTTTTTTTCCCTCTTTCTCAGTTAAGACACATTGAGGATAATGATATGAGATTTAGAGCCTGCCTTTTCTTCAGAAGCCCAAGGTGGCATGCCTATAGTGCTGTCCCCTCCATTTGGGGAGGCAGGAAGCTTTCTTTAACATTACTTTATTCTTTTAATAAAACAAATAAATAGGAAGTTGGCATGCCATAAAAGAGAGCATGTATCTTTAGCATCATACTCATCTGAAGCAAAATTTCTGCCCCAAAAATGGTCCCAGCAGGGTGATAGAGGGCATCTTGGGGAAACTGGTTTGTGGGATATACAAATTGTACAAATGCCAATTCAAATTTATAATTGGACTCCAAATTGCAATTTGATTCAGAAAATCAGATCAATTTGGATTCAGAAAAAAAAAATCTCCACATAGGTGCAAAATGCTGGAATTGTCCAAATCAGTTAAAGGAACCTGTTTATTTCAGCAATTCAAACTGACTCACTGATTTAGTTCAGAAAGTAGTTTTCAAAAATAGCCTTAATGGTTTGGTTTGATTTGGTTTGGTTTGATTTGATTTCAGGAAGTTAACCTTATCATTTGTAACTGTTTAGACCAAATGTCTGCGGGGGACAATGCTGCTCAGGGTGGACAACTGCTCCTAGTACAAATCGATGTATTAAACGTGAGTATAAAATTATTACACCTACTACTATCACAATTGCATATAAAATTATACCTGGTGCATAGTATATACATGCAGTAAAACAGAAATCCCAGTTCAAGGAGCTGGTAGTCCAAATTTATAATAGTGAATAGAGAGACAAAGGGTGGGGATGAGGAAATATGGCAGTAGTTTTTGCAAGGCAAATACATTTGGAGTTTGCATGCTACTGTAGATAGAATTTGCCATGATGCTACATAGAATGGTTTTTAGCATAGCTGCTTTGACATTATCTGTTTGGAAGGTAGTTGAGAAAGTCTGTCCAAACAGACTGATTATTAGAACAGTATTAGCAATAAAATTTTGCTCCATTTGGTGGGCCTGATGGAGTTGAGTTTCTTCTGACCATGATGTTGCTTTTGACATTTTACACAGATTAGTCATTCTAGATTAGCCTCTGCTGTGTCATAATTATTGTTATGGGATACAATGCTTTTTTTGTGATGCCGTTGCAGCACTCCTAGGGATTTTAGTGGCCGTATCTGGTGGAGCTAGATCAGTTCACACCTAATACAAAGTTCACATTCAAGAATCAGAAGTAGGACAGTGACTGTAGCAGTGCTGAGTGTGATTGACAGGGAGGAAGTAGATACAAAATGGAATTCAGTAATGATACTTTTGGGCTATGGTTGCACAATGTACTTAACCAGGTCAGTTAAAAATCTAGCAGCAGCACTGCAGAGCAAAATTTGACTACTTCTCCCTTTAGTTCAACTCTTTCTGATCAGTTTAGACTCTGTTGCAGTGTATGAACCCAGGTATCTTCCATAAACAAGTTAAACATGCGAATACAGCTGCTGTCCCGCTTTTTGCGGTTTCCTGGTTACAGGAATCTCAAATCTGAGAGATTGCCAATGGGAAGAAAGTAATATAGGCAGGTTTCTGTGAAGGAGGATGAAGTCGCATCAGCAGTTTTTCAAAAAAGGGATGATTCTGATTAGTTCCAGAACAGGTGGGCAATTAACCATTATCACATTAAAATCAGTTAAAATAGTGAAGCAGAAATATGATAAGCCATTTTTCATGGGTCAGGCCACACTCAAGGGAGAAAACAAGAGTGAACTTAGACCATTTTTTACTTGTCAGGCAATTACGTTTCCAAGAGTTGATCTCTTAAAGAGGTTCAGCCTAGAGGGCTTATTCTAAAGCTGAATGATGCTAAATATCTCCACTTTGTAGCTTCCATCAGAGTCTCCCTGTGGAACTTTTTTCCACTCTTAGGTTATTACTTCAGCAATTCCTTCCTAGCTTTAAACATGGGATCTTGTAAACTAGAGCCTCCTGCTGGGCCATTTACCCCCACTATATTAATCAGGAAAGGGACAGTGTGGAGTGATTTACAAGGAAATAGGCCCATAAGGAGATGCTGATGAAATCATTAACCATATGAGCTGGAACTGGGGAAGCAGTTAATTACACTGCAAATCAGAGCAACTTGTCCATTACTAGTTCATTTTTCTAATCTCCGTATCCAGTCGTGTTTTTAAGTTTCCACACTCAGCAGTCCTCTAAGCCACAGTGGAACAGTAAAGAAGCACTTAATTTCTCTAGTGTTTCTAGCCAGCACTAGCTGCTTGCAAAGGTTCTAGTTCTCTGCAGAGTAATCTGCCAGAACAGCTACAATCTCCAGCCCAGATTGAGGCTTCTGGAGTTTTTGTATTTTATTTATTTATTTAGAGTTTTTGTATTACTTTTCCTTTCAGCTCAGAGAAAGAAAGAACAATTAATTATATATACTGTAACCTTCAGTTGTATTTGTGATCCTTC